CGAGGAGGGAGGAGAGAGAGGAGGAGGGAGGAGAGGAGGAGGAAGAGGAGGAGGAGGAGGGGGGGATGAGGAGGGGGAGGAGGAGGAGGAGGATGAGGAGGAGGAGGAGGAGGAGGACGAGGAGGAAAAGGACGGGGAGGAGGAGAGGAGGAGGACGGGGAGGAGGAGGAGGAGGAGGAGGAGGAGGAGGAGGAGGCGGAGGAGGAGGAGGAGGAGCCTCCTTCGTCGTTCACGCCAGGCCGAAGGGGGCAGAGGGAGGAGCGCGCCCCACGGCCGCCAGACACCGACCCTCCTCCTCCGACCATCCTCTCCCTACCCTCCCTTTCTCCTCCTTCTACCATCCTCCTACCCCCCTCCTACTATCCTCTTCCTCCCTCCCCTTACCCTCCTACTACCCCCTCATGTCCGCCGTGGCACCGTAATGTCGGAAGCAAACCAAAGCAAGCGTACTTCCCCACCTGAGCGCTCTCCACCTCTTGCGGAGAAGCCGCTCGCGACGACGGCGCCGCCGCCTAGCAGAACCTGGAGGTGCCTCTTTCGACTGCAGCTCGGCCTGTCGTGGATCAGGTTTAGCCTGACGGACCCTGGACCTCGTGGACTTGGTGGAGAACTTGATGGCCATGGCAGCAGCCTCGATGCACCTTGAAACTTCCTCCCGGGAAGACCCCAGCGCACCAGGAACACAAAACCCATTGTGACGCGAAATCGCCGAGACCTGGTCCAAGAAGTTCGTGGAGTCATCCTCAGAGGTCGGCTTCCAGCCAGTCGAACTACGCTGAAATTCAGCTTTACTAATAGTGGCTTCACCAGGCACTCCCAAGGACGCGTAGACAGGATAGTGATCGCCGTTAGCCCACTTGGATACGTTTCGGACCCAGCTCCGATGAGAAGGCGCACTGGGAACCAAACCAAAGTCGATCTGAGTACACCTCTGATGATCTCCCAGGGGCGCCGAGTAAACCAATCGTTCTCAGGGAGCCAGGTGTTAGCCAGCAGCAGATCAAAACGTTCTAGAACACTGAGGATCCGAGTAGGAGTCGTCGCTGTTCGTAGGCATCGTTAGTGCGAGAAGGGGGCGGCGCTGCACATGTGGACCCACTCTGCCGTGCCAGTCCTCTGCTGGCTCCGCGTTGACATCCAGACCCACCACTAGGAAAAGGGCAACACTGGCCTTCAGCTTCGCGAGGACAGCGGCCCAAGAGACTATCGTGCACTCAAACTCTGGAAAGCTAGCAGCTTCAGAGACGTAGGGGAGGTAGCAGGAGACGAAACCCCAGGGGCCAAAGCGCATCCAAGAGATCCTGTCTGGGCACTCCAGATCAGAGACTTCATGTTCAAGAGAGGGGGGAATGGTGGTAGCTGTGCGATTGCCACGACCATGGGAAAGAACGCAGCCAGGCAGCTCCGCATCAGCTTGCACCCGTTCAACTTCTTGAAAGAAACCAATACATTGGGCCAACTTTAGATCCCCACAAAGCTCAGCAAAGGCATTGGAGGTCCCCCTGTTGAAAGTCCAGGTGGCAACCTTCACCGAACTCCAGGCCGAGGAGAAGGTCTTTCTTGAAGATGCAGAGCGGTTGGATCAGCGGCAGGCTTCGACCATCATCGGCGACGCGAGCGTGTCCTTGACCGTCTTGGGAACCTCCGCGTAGACCTGCCAGACCTTCGATGGAGACCACAGCGCAAGCGTCTGGACCCCATCCATCTTCAGCCTGACGACCAGCGGCGCCTCGCCCCACACGATCTGGAACTGGTCCTTCCGCAAGCCCTGATCCAAGAGAAAACGCGTGGCTTCTCAACCAGCGGCGTGGAACTGCTTACGATCGGGCGCCACTTCAACTCCAGGGAAGACCCGCTTGCCCATGGGCGTGTTCAGGCGGCCCTCGTCGAACCACTTCATGAGCGAAGTGCGAAGGCCCCAAACGCCGTTGTTGCGATCGTCCTTCGCAGCGTCGTGTAGTGCCAGAAAAATCTTAGCATTCAACTCCTGACGCTCGGCTTTCAGAATAGAAGCTTCCCAATCCACTGCGTCCGACTCTTCCTGCTCTAAACTCTCCTTCGAGCTCTCCAAGTAGGCCTTGGCCTCGGGGCCGAGGAGACAAGAGCGATCCGTGGGCCCCCCGAAGTCGTCGATCTCGCTGTAGCCCTTGATCTCAACAAAACTCGCCTTGAAGGGGCCCGCCGTCGAACTTCCGTTGACCAGCGAGCCTCCGCCCATGCTACCTGGAAGTGTTGACGCGCTGTCTAGCCTGGCGGCCGAGAGAGCTGCCCTCGCCACTTTCAAAGCCTCCGGTGCGTCCCTTCTCGCAGCTGCCGCCTCCGCCTTGGCTTCGGCGGCGACCTGCTTGGCCCCTCGAACTTCTCCCTGAACGTTTCGCGCACACCGGTGAATACTCGAACACAGCTTGAACAGATCCTGCAGAGATGAGATCTCGTTCTCTTCCTCCATATCTGAACCTTCCAGAAACTCGGGCCGCTCCGGCCCGCCAAGAACAGAAGCGGCCCTCTTCGCCATCCCTGTCGGAAATATCGATGGCATCTGAAAATCTTCGGCCGGGCCACAACCCCTCGGACAAGGGCTGCGCAAGCCAAGCCCCAAAGGACACCATTGAGCCCAAATGGCTTCAGCCGTAGATGATGATGATGATGATGTTGATGATGCTTCCGGTGATAATGATAGTGATGGCGGTGATGATGATGATGATGGTGCCCCGATGATGATGTTGACGAGGTTGATGATGATGAAGGTGGTGATGGTGATGAGGATGGTGCCACGATGATGATGCTGTTGGTGATGATGATGTTGCTGATGATGATGGTGTCCCTATGGTGATAATGTTGATGGTCATGATGATGTTTATGATGATGAAATGGTGATGATGGTGGTGTCCCGATGATGATGATGACGATGGTGTTGATTATGAGGGTGATGGTGATGATGACGGTGCCCCGATGATGGCGATGACGTTGATGATAATGACGATGCTGGTGACCCGATGATGATGATGATGTTCATGGTGAGGATGATGATGAGGCGATGATACTGATTGTGATGATGGTGGCGCGGTGATGGCGATGACGAAGATGCTCATGTTGATGACGATGACATCCCGATGAGGATGGTGATGATGATGATGGTGACGATGATGGTGTCCCGATGATGATGATGCTGATGATGGTGTTGCTGATGATGATGGTGGTGTCCCGATGATGGTGATGATGACGACGCTGATAATGTTGTTCATGATGATGATGAGATGATGATGATGGTGGCTTTCCGATGATGATGATGTCCCAATGAGGAAGATGATGGTGACGATGATGGTGTCCCGATGATGATGATGGTGATGATGATGCTGATGATGATGTTGATGCGGTGATGATGATGATGGTGCCCCGATGATGATGCAACTAATGATGATGATGTTGGTGACGTTGATGACGATGATGTTGATGATGACGATGGTGATGATGATGATGACGTTGTTTGTGGGATCGAATGTGAGATCGATTGTGAGATCGACCGTGGGACCAAATGTGAGCTCGATTGTGAGATCGATGGTGGTATACATAGTGATATCGAGCGAGAGATCGATAGTCAGTTCGATTGTGAGATCGATCGAATGAGATAGATCGAGTGAAATCGATTGTGAGATCGATCGAGTGAGATCGATCGAGCGAGACCGACAGTGAGATCGACAGTGAAATCGATAGTGAGACCGATCGAGTGAGAAATTGGTTCCTCCCCCCCCCCGAATCTCCTTTATCACCCGAAAGGGTTGTCGTATAGGTACTCCGTCTTGTAACTGGCCAGGGAGGGGCAGGGGACCCAACACATCAAACCTTCCGGGCGCTCTCGCGCTTTCACGGGCTTCCTCGCATGACTTTTCCAAAGAAGCCAGAGGACCCGACGGACGAGCCAACAGGGCCCCAAGACGTGCCCAGGAAAGCCCGAGAGGCATCCCAGACAGCCCGACAGCGCTCCAAGACGCCCAAGATGGCCCCAAAACGGCCCGAGAGGCCCCAAAGACGCCCCAAAGACGCCCCACGAGGGGTCCACGAGGTCCCCCAAGAGGGCCCAGAGATGTCAAAATCACTGATGTTCCTAAGGTGTTTGAAAAATGTCAACGGTCTCGCCTTCTCTGGCTTTCGACACTCCAAGTCGGCCCCAAAGGCCCTAACATCGCCCCAAGATTGCCCAAGAGGCCCTCAAGAGCCCACCCAGCTGACAAACGATTGCCCCAAGACTGCCAAAGAGGTCCCCAAGACGGCCCAATAGAGCTCGAAGAGCACAAAAAGGCCCCAGAGGGGGGAACACGAACCGACATTTCGAGCCCTTCGCCACAAGATGGCCCCGGAGACCGCCAGCAGGACCACAAGAGGCTTCTCACAAGCTCCAGGAAGCCTCCAAGAGGCACGAATCATGCCCCGAGAAACCCCCAAGAGGTCCCAGAGAGGCCCCCGAGACACACCAAAGCCGAACCCGAGAGGATTCCGAGAGGCCTCCCAAAACATCCTTAAAGGCATCCCAGAGGCAGAGGCCGCTGACTTACAGCCAAGGCACGAGGGCGGGATGGGCCGAAGGCCGCTAGATTGCACGCGCGTGGAAAAAAATGTGGCGTGAAATACCTCGCAACCTACACAAAACCCGCCTACAACAGCAGAACAATTGGCCTATTCCGGAAACCCTGAACCCACAAATGTTGTCATCTCCTGGGAGGTCGACTTCTGCTTGCGCCGGCTTTCGCCGAGCATCCGTACGGATGTAGCGCACTGCCCCGGAGGATCCATCGGCACAAGAAGTCTCGCGTGGGGCTCTGAACTACCGAACCGATGTCGCAGTTGTAGGCCCCCCACCTCTCCCCCCCACGGGAGGCGAGGTACAGTTGCGACGGCTTCAAGCCCGCGCTCCGCTGACCCCCTGGAGCCCGCGAAAGTGGCGACACCTCGCGCCCCGCCTCTCCCCTCTCCTCCCTCCCTCCCTCCACCTCTCCCCCGTCCCATCCATAGGCCCGTCGCCAGCTCGCCGAAGACCGCCCCGTGGGCGAGGGTGCCCACGTGCTCCAGGGTGCGCTGAAGGCGACCCGTTTCCGCGCCGTCCGCGCTCTCCTGCCGGGAGGCGGAGCGGAGGAGGAGCACCTAGGAGGAGGCCGAGCCAGGCCGTCTTTCAGCAACGCACGGCGGCTGGAAGGGGGACGCGCGCCCCTCTCCGTCGTCTCTCCTCCGCCTCCCCGCCTCCCCCTCTCTGCGCTGTGTCGTGGCCTGGCGGCGCGAACGCGGTCGGGTGTGGCCATCAGAGGCTCGCTTCCCCTTCGGTCTGGGCCTGAGGATATGGCCACCAGGCCGAAGATGGTTTGGAGAGGACAGCGCCCTCCACGAGGAGGAGGAGGTAAGATAAGAAAGGAGCACATACATGCTATGACAAGGCAACCTAAGATAAGATAAGATACTATAAGATAAGGTAAGATAAGATAAGCTAAACTAACGCAATCATATACGATAAGGCAAGGCAAGGCAAGGTGAGGCAAGGTAAGGTAATGCGAAGTAAGGTTGAGCAAAGCAAGGTACGGTAAGGCAATCCGGTGAGATATGATAAGGCAAGGTAAGATAAGGTAAGGCAAGGTGAATGTAAGCTTAAGGTAATATTAAGGTAAGGGTAAGGCCAGGTTAAGGTAAGGTTAAGGTAAGGCAGGGCCATGTTAAGTTAAGATAAGTGTAAAGGTAAAGGTACATGCAAGGTACCAGGAGGGAAGCAAGATAAGGTAGTCAAAGGAGGGTGGCGGCAGGGGGCACGGCCGAGCACAAGATGAGCCGCGGCACCCCCTGCGACGTCCAGTTGTGAGGAAGGCGCGCGCTGTTGTCGCCGACGCCGTCGAGAACGTCGCCGCCGTCGCCGTCGCAGCCGCCGTCGGAGGACGAAGGATGAGGAGCACAAGGAGAAGTCAAAAGGTAAGGTAAGGTAAGGTAAGGTAAGGTAAGGTAAAGTAAAGTAAGGTAAGGTAAGGCGCCACCAGGGGGGTCCAGCGCCGGTTCAAGAACTCCGCGCGGTGCTCCGAAAGGTGATGTGTATGTGGTGTTCTCTTCCTCGAGATCTCGCCGCCACGATGGGGAGGCCGAAATAGAGTCAGCACGTGCGAAGCTCATTGCTGAGCAGGGACCGACCGACCCAGCATTCCTATAGGACATTCGTGCAGACCACAAAAGGTCCTTAGAGCATTTCGTGGTGGGCCTCTGGGCACGCGAGGACGCTTCGCCACTGCTTGGAAAGATCAAGGGGCCCTGGAACACACAAACACACACACACACACACTAATCCCAGGATTCCCGTACATATTTTCACATGTTCTGGATTTTCGTCTCCCCCCCCAGTGTCGATATTTTCCCCATATTTTCCTGGGAATCGACGATTCATGGTGTCTGTGTGTGTGTTTTCCCCCTCCTGGAAAGAGAGCCAGCCCGTGCGAAGCTCATTGGAGGCAGGGCCCAGGCGCTCGCCCAAGGCCCGCCCAGGGTGCCACCCCTGGCCCTCCTCGGGGCCGTGGGCGCGCCCCTGTCGCAAGAGGCTCCGCAGCACATTGAGACCTCGGCCGTCAGGGTGAGGGGCCTGCTTTCCACCATGGAAACCAGGCCCATCATCAGGGGGCTTCGGCCGTGGCAGTGTCGTCCCCACCGTCTCGTCGTCCTGCCCTCCCGTCCCCCAGGGGTGGCCGGGGGACCAGGTTGCCACGCCCCACTGGGAGTCTCTATGCGCCCGTCGTGGACCCTTGTGCTCTGTTACGCAGTCAGCCCGCATGGTAAGGATGGACAGGTTTCCCAAGGTACCCTTGCATCCTTGCCGCTTCGGCCCATCCTTGGCGACTTTCGCTGGCCAGCCTCGTTTGAAAACGTTCACGTAGGCCTCCAAAGCCCTGGCATCCTTACCCCGCATCCTTATGATACGGGTCGACTGTACAGCTTAGCTAGCTTGCCTCCCCCCATGAGCGACCGCCACTCGGGGACGGCTGAATCCTATGGGATTCAGGTGCCTGCAGCGTCAGCGTCTGGAAAAGGTGGAGGAAAAGGATGAGGGGAATGAGAAGGGGCCTTCTAGACTAGGTCCGAGCAGATCGGGTCGGAGAATCGCGCCGCATCGCCGATGTACTGCCGATGCATCGGCGACGTCGGCGGTGCATCCGCGCCGTCGGCATGGAGAATCTCGGGGTACACATCGAACCGCATCGGCAATGCATCGGCGATGCGTACACCGGCACACTGCCTGTCTGACGTTTTTCTTTTCCTTCCGCAGAGCCTGGGAGACCTCCACCTCCTCTCGTTGAGAAAAAACACGACGGGCTGTTTTCGGCAATTTTCGGCCTCAGCTGAGAGCGGGTAGGCCCCTCGTGCGGGAGGAGGGGGGACATGAAAAGGGGCAGGCTAGCCAGAATCAATCGGGTCACACGGTCCCGCCCATTCCCACCATACCTCCCTTGACATAAGACTCAGTGGTGGCACAATTTCATGTGGGGACTGTCGGCGGGGCTCCACGATGCCCACTCGTGGAGTATACACCACGGTGACGCTGAAAATTCTGTCTGTGCCTAGGTACGGTCGTTCGGGGGGCCATCTTCCCCAGGACACGAAGTTCGCCTGTCCCCAGTCTTCGGTCCAGGGTCGACGCCCTGGAGGCTCAACAATGGGCCGCATCTGTTCCGACAGCATCCGAGAGGGGAGGGACTCCCCTGGGGGGGGGAGCAATGACTTGGACTCGACAACACATCGCCGGCAGAGAACCCAGCGGTCCAGGGCTCGGCGAGCTCGGAGATCTTCTGACCCCGGTCAATCCAGACCCGGTCAGTCAGGCCTTGCAAAATCCTGCAAGATCCTGCACCCAAACCTGGGTCAACGCGAAGGATGGGGATCCTACAAGATCCTGCGCCCAAACCCGGGTCCGTGCGACCCTGGCCCTGCAGGATCCTGCAAGATCGGGCGCTCTGGCTGACACCCCCGTTTGCATTGACCCCCGTCTCAAGGCTCCCGATGGGCAGCAGGCTGGGGCACCCCGGCTCCGACCAGCCAGGTGTGTCGTGGGCGCGCAAAGTATGGATTAGCGATCCATGGGTTTGGCGCGCGGTCGCCAAATCCATGGATCGGGGGAGGTGCCCTCCCCAAAATACGGCCGGCGCCGCCTCGTTCGGCGGCGGAAATCCGCGATTTCCAATGGAAACGGGACGCGTCGCTAATCCACGCCCCCTTGATCCATGTTTGCGATCGCCTGACACCCGAAGGGGGTCCGATCAGATGAGGCCAAAGGATCGCGCCGCATAGCCAATGCATCGGTGATGTCACGGAGACGTCTGCGATGCGTCGGCGACGTTGGCGTGGAGGAAATCGGGGTACACATCGAGCCGCATCGCCGATGAATCGACGATGTGGCGCGACCCCCGGATTCCAGCTACTCGGACCCCATTCCCTATCTTTCGGTCGGGCATGTCCTCATACACGCGGATTTTGGACGACAAGTCTAAATGCTCAAAACATCGTCAACGAACATCAAATTACAAAATGCTAAAATAAAAAAAGCCCCCGGAATATTTGTTCCATTCCTTCTGTAGACGGACATGCTCGACTCAACCCATCCCCCCCTCGCGTCCGAACCGGTCCTCCCGAGGCATCCTCCGCCTCCCGCGGCGCCCTTCTGCCGAGGCCACCCCCCTCCTTGACAACGTTGGCGGACCCGACCCTCAGGACGAACATGGAGGTGCCCTCCATGCCCTGCTGAATGATCCGGTCCCCGGGTGCGTACACCCTCACCGTTCCCACCTCGAGAGCGCAGAGATGCCTCATCATCACCGTCATCGCCACCATCAACAGCAAATGCATCAACATTGATCAACGCCATCCTCGTCATCACCACGATCACCATCATCACAACCGTCAACATCACCATCAACATCATCAGCAACGTCATCGTCGTCGCTCTCGTCACGCATGATCATCCACACCATCAGTATAATAATCGGTATCGGGGGGGGCGCCATTAAATGCGCATGCGCATGCGTATGCATATTCACAATTAGATACACATACTGTATACATATACGTATAACTATACGTATACAGATGTAAAAATATGTCTTACGTATACGCACACACATTCACATGCTGGCATACACGCGCATCCATGCATTTGCGTACATATATATATAAATATATATATATATATATATATATATATATGTGTATATGTGTATATATATGCACATATGCATATATACATACGCATATGTACCACTACAACTATATTCCACCGCACTCGTCGCTACCCCCGCGCCCCCATCATCTGCGCCCCCCTGATCACGTCGCCCCCCCCCCAATGCCCGCGGCCATCCGCGCGCGCCCGCCGCTCGCGGCCCGCTCGGCGGCCACGCGTCCGCGAGCGCGCCGCGGAGCACGCTCGCGACGCCGCCCAGCGCCGCCGCGAGCGCCTCGGGTGGCGCCGGCGCCGGCCCGCGCGGGCCGAAGGCGCTGGGCGGCGTCGGCGGCGAGCGCGTGCCCACGAGCGTCATGGCGGCCGCGTGCTGCGCCTTCGCGCGGCCGAGCTCCTCGGCGAGCTCGTCGAGCGCATCGTCGAGGTCCTCGATGCGCACTCTGGCGCTCTCGAGGTGAGCGCCGCCACCTCCGCCTTCTCCTCGACCGCCGCGATCTCCGCGGCCTCCCTGCGCGCCTTCGCCTCGCGCCACAGCAGCTCGAACTCCTGCGCCGCACTCTGGGAGAGATCGAGCTGCTGGCTCATCTCGCCGCAGCGCTGGCCCTGCTCGAACGCCGCCCGCAGTCGTCGCCGCGCCCGCTCCCCTCGCCACCGCCGCGGCGATAACGATGGGCGCGCTGCAGCGTGCCCATCATCGCCAACGTCCGCGTCGCCATCGTCATCTCCGTCGTCGTCGTCGCCGCCGCCGCCGTCGAGGTCATCGTCGCCGCCGCCGCCGTCGCCGTCGTCAGGATCGTCGTCGCCGTTGTCGTCGTCGCAACGTGCTCGCTCGCCTTCGCGAGCTCGTCGGCGCCCCTCTACGCCTTCGCGACCAGCGCCTCGCCCTCGTCGACGCGGCGCTTCCGGGCCATCGGCGGCGCGGCGGGTCGCCCCGGGCGGGGCGAAGCGCTTAGGTCCTGCAGCGGACCGCGACTTGAGCTGTATACAGATGTATGTGTATATATATATATATACATATACCATATATATATATAGATAGATACCGGTGCAATCGACTCACCCCGAGGGCGGCCGCCGCTCCGTCACTCCATGGCATCCGTCGTTCCCTATCCCACGCCGCCGTCATTCCCCGCCCCCGCCCTGCTGCGCCCCTCCTCCCAAACCAATAACTCCCGACCACATTAACGCGGCGCTGAACGTCGCGTTGTTGCGCGATGGGCGAACGCGGCGCCGCAGTAACGCAAGCGCGCACGCGCGAGGTGTCACTCTGCGCCGACGCAAACTGCTCTGGCTCAAATGGGGTCCAACTGGCGGCCTCCGCGCGCGTATAACGCGCCCCCGCCACCGCGGGGGTGGCTCGTGGTGGGCCGCCGCAACCGCCCGCCCGAGCTCATCCAGCTGGTCGACATATGGGGGGCGATCCCAGCGATTTGGCGGGCACGCTGCATGGATTGGTTTCGGACGACGCCGATGACGGCGCGCATCTAGCCCCGCTGTGGGGAGAGGACAACTTCGGCTCGCAATGCATCGTGCACATGCTGCTCATCTGGGATAATGTCGCGTCGGGCGCCTCGTGCCCACCGTATGTATATGTGCGCGTGCAGATATGCATGCATTTATAAGTGCGCGACGTCCTGATACGCGTCTGCTAAAGCAGCCGTGCATCAGGACGTTCTCTGCATCGTCCAAGCGCGCTGTAGTGGCCGTGGCCGATGTTCCCTGAAGATACGCGATCTACGACCGCATCATGCACCCTCGCTTCTGCAACCGCCGACGCTCCTGAGGGCCAGCGCACGAGCGACAGCCGACGACGCGGCACTAACTATCGCCTCTGAGCCGACAACATCGTCATCATCAGGACCATCACCATCGGCATCACCATCGCCACCCTCAGCACCCGCGGGTGGCAGTGTGGACAGTGCTCTCATCCCTTCAGCGCGGCGAGCACTGCCGATCTTGCTGCTGAAGCAGCACCATCAGCACCGTCAGCAGCATGTACACTTCGACCGCCGATTCCCATTCTCATCACTCATCGATCTACTCCCATCCTCTCCCATCACGTCACCATCTTCATTATCACCCTATCAATCAACATCCGCGAGCGAAGTCGACCGCGCGTGGACGGCGATGCGGGCTGGGGTTCTCAACGCTTCAGCGCAGCAACGACCAGTTCGCATCCTGGTCGGCCCCCAACCATCATTCCCATCACACTCGCTGTCATCATCGGCATCATCATCATCACCATCATATGGCATGGCGATGCTGATGGTGCCGCAACATCACCACAGTCATCTCGCCGGTAGCAGTGCGATGTATAAGGTATCCTCTCTCGTCGCCCCTGTTGTCCTCCTCCATGGTCCTGTTATCAATAGTATCCTCGTCGTCCTCCTTCGTGTCCTCAACACACTCTCTTTCTATCCCACCACCCGCATCTACCCTTCATATGGGGGCCCTCCTGATATTTGAAAAAAAGGCCCTCAGTGGAACACCCCTGATATCCTGAAGGGGCCCCGAGACCTCTGATGCGCCAGTGATATGCCCTCATGAGACCCTTCATGCCAATGTGAGCACTTAGCCAAGTACTTAGCTCGGCACTTAGAAGTACTTAGGAACTATTTCTGAATGTCGAACTAAATACTTCGCTAAACCACTCGTAAGTCACGTGCTAAGTACTTAGCTAAGTACTTAGAAGTGTGAGCGAAATGCTTAACAAGTCAAGCTAAGGACTTAGCTAATTACTTAGCACATGCTTCTAACTGCAGAGCTAAGTCATTCAGATAAGACTTTTATAAGTCAGTTGGTAAATACTTAGCTAATCACTTAGCAAGTCCCTTCCAAGCCAGCTAAGTATTTACCAAGGCAGCTAAGTACTTACAAGAGCACTGGTCCACACGAGTAACCGACGCGACGCTAACCGACGCTATCTCACCCACTCCCAGACGCTAATCGACGCTAGTCGACGCTAAAAAATAACTAAGACGGTATACCAGGTTCCCATGATTTGCTACCGAACAGTGGCGTTCCACGCGGCGACGATGGCGTGGTTTGACAAGGCCGAGAATTACCTGGCGAGCCTGCACGCAGCCGAACTTATGTCGGCGGCGAGCGCGGGGGGAAAGTGAAAATGATATGGCCTTCTCAGAAGGTTCGGAAGTCCCCTAGCCTTCTGAGAAATGTTATACGCCTTCCCCGAAGACACAAACAACAACTTTTCAGAAAGCGCGAGGGCTTCCGAGACGTCCTGCCGCCTTCTGAGAGGGCCTTCTCCTGCTCGTGTCCCCCCCCATCGCTGGCCGCCGATTTGAGAAGGCCGAGAAGGACCTCACGAGCCTGCATACAGCCAAACTTCCAGCAGAAAGCATGACATGACAGTGCGCCGACAGCTGGGGAACCCGTGCGTAGGCCCAGGGGCCTAAAACTCGCGAGGCGCGGCGTGCATGCACAAGGGGGCTCGAAGGTGAACGGGCCCAGGGACAAGCAGATAACATAGAACCCCGCTGCTTTTCGTATTGCCATGTGCTTCCCATATTGCCCGTGCTTCTGCGTATTGCCCATATTTTCTGGATGCTCGTCTTCCCGTATGTCCTGGATGCTCGTCCAGTCCAGAAGCCTTGCGCCTGCCACAGCGCCTGAGGAATGGGTGAAACTGCGCACGGAAGCGGATGCCTTCAGCACGCCGCCCATGCCTTGACCGCCTGCTCCCACCTACGAGCTGCACCACCCTCTCGGCGAACATAGTCAGCACGTCACTCATGGGAGCTGGCAACATTCTCGCAATTCTTTAGAACCGTAAGCCCAGGCACAAGCAAATACTTAGACACATAAGCCCAAGAATCCCCATACTTTCCGTGTATTTCGGATGCTCGTCTTCCCCTCCACTTCCCATGTTTCCCACATTCTCTTTCGAGTCGACGATCCTTTGTGGCTGTGTGCCTTTTCCCCTCCTGAGGCAGGGAGGCTCGCGCCAACAGGGGGGCACGCCTGGAAGTGGGGGGATCACAGTGCTCCTCTGTACGTGCGGTAGGCTTGTGCGGCGTCGGCGCGCGCCAAGCTTTGACACCGCGTCGATCGTTCAATCCTGAATCGATCGCGGCCCCGATCGTGCCTAGTTGGATTCCGTCGGGTCCAATGGCGTCACCTGGGTGCCCGAGTTATCCGGGGTGACTCGGGTCCAGGGTAACTCGGGTTTGGATTCCCAAAAGCGGACCCGAGTTAAGCCCTGACCCGAGCTACCCCTGATGATTCAGGGCTCTGGACGCCCGAATTATCCGGGGTCACTCGGGCCCGGGGTAATTCGGGCTCGGATTCCCCGAAAAACGAACCCGAGGTAGCCCTGACCCGAGTTACCCCTGATGACTCGGGGCTTTGAGTCACCGTGTCCCTCCGCAGGAATTCAGCCTTGAACGCCTTCGCTGGCGTCGCCGGCGTGCCAACGCCGAACGGACCTGCCGCAGGCACTGGGAAGGGCTCTACGCCCGTGGCTGGGGGGCTCCCAGGTCTCTGGTACCTCTGTAAGACGGAAACAAGACAAGGGTAACACCGGGCGGGGACAAATCCTCCAAGAAGCCTCCAAGACGCACCCAAAGACCTCCCAAAAGAACCCCAAGGCGCAGCAATCCGCCCTATCCCTGAGGAAAGCGTATGCTTTAAACATACACACCGATTTGATCCCACCAGCCCTCTGGGCGTAAGTGGTCTAGGGAGTCTTCCAGCCCCCGTCTTCCCCTTTGGGGAGGGGTTTGTTGACCCCTCCCCCCTACCCCCTTCCCTGGACCTGGACGAGGGAGGCGGCGGGTAGTTGGAGCGTCCAAGATGGCCCAAGACGGCTCCAAGAGGGCCTCGGAAAGCCCAAGATGACTTCCAAGATGGCTCAAGATAGCGCAAGATGCCTCAAGATGGATTTCAAGATGCTGAAAGAAGTCCCAATAACGCTCCAGGACGGCGCCCAGAGGCCTCCGAGACCTCCAAGGAATTCCCCAGGCGGCCAAAACCCTTGCAAAACCTAAGGAACATCTTTGTTATTTGCCTCCTCGCCTCTTCGCTTCCAATGGCCATCCGAGGTCTTGAGATGGCTCCAAGATGGCTCAAGAGGGCCCCAAGAGAGGCCCAAGAGAGCCCCAAGACGGCCCCAAGAGCGCCCAAGAGCGCTCCAAAAGCGCCCCAAGAGCGCCCTAAGAGGCAACTTTTGAGGCTCCCGAGGGGGGAGCCTAATTGAAGCTCCCTCTTGTTTGATCGATGTCCTCTGAGATGGCCCCAAGAGCGCCCCTCAAGCTCCCAAGAGCGCCCCGAGAGGGCCCCAATGGGCGCCTAGGCGGTCCCAAAAGGCGTCCAAGAGGCATCCAAGAGGCTCCCAAGAACCCCCCAAGAGCCTCAAAAAGAACTCCGAGGCATTTACGAAACTCTCAGACTCATCCCTCCTCCTCCCCCTCCTCCTCCTTCTCCTGATCCTCCTCCTCCTTGTCCGCTGTCCCTTCCTCCTTCCTTCTCTTCGCCCTCCTCCTCCTTCTCCTCCATCATCCTCCCCCTTTTGGGGTATCGGACGGCTTCCCCCGCCCTTTGTTCTTCTGCATGCTACCCCACTTCCCTGATCACCTTAACTCGTCTGGGCATCGTTTCTGGATGGGCTGGTGGGGTCACTTCTTTTGGTCGCGAGCGCGCCGGAGGAGCCGGACGCCGTCAAGGTCGCAGCAACGGGCTGTCAGCGAATTGCGCACCAAGGGAAGGAAACAGGCGACAAGAGGACAGCGGAGGAGGAACTAACAGGAGGCGGGCCTCGCTGCCGCTCAGGAGAGGGGCTGGTGGGTTTTCTATTTTTTTGATCGCGAACGTGGCGAGAAGGTCGGGCGGCGTTAAGGTACGAAGCGCAGATGCATCGGCCTACATGAGCGCACGCGACGCGTCTAGAATCCAAAAGCGTCCAGAACAGGCCAGGTGGCCCCCAAGAATCGGGGATCTCCTAGGTCCGGCGGCTCCCGAAGATATCTCGGGCGCCGCGGAGCGTTCTGGAACGCAGTGGAACGGATTTATCCTCGTCCTAGCCCCGTCCGGCTTTGGCCCGGACTATCTGGTCCACACGTTTGGCCTCAGCGAGAGAAGCCCAAGAGCCCCAGATGGTCCAGCTTTTGCGCCTCAAGTGCGGAGGGTGGGGGCCAGGAGGAGGCTGTGAAACTGGCGGCGGCGTGCGACCCGCAGTGGGAATGAAATTGTCTGGCGCCCAGCCCAAGAGCGCGAGACTACCTCGATAGTGCTGTACCCGTTCCCAGAGTCTGAGAGTCGGCCTCGAAGCCGCCTCTCAGCTCGGAAAGGGCCTGAGACCTCTCGAAGGGTGTCATGCCGCACGAACAGCGTGTGGCGACCCTTGTCGCGCCGTTACTCGCTTCGGCATTGTGATCATTCGTCCTCACGAAACTTCATGGGGGCGCTGTCTATCGATCCTCCTCCTCCATCTCCTCCTTCTTCCTCCATCTCCTCCATCTCCTGCTCATCCTCCTCCTACTCCTCAACATCCTTATCCTCCTCCTCATCTACATCCTCCTCCTCCTCCTGCTGCTCCTCCTCCTCCTGCACCTCAAACGGTACCACGTGGGGAATTGAGCGCTCTGGAGTTAGGTATCCGCTTGACCACTGGCCACTTGACTTTCGTTTCAGACAACGATGAGGTCGTGAGGGGCTGGTGGGAAGGCAGGTGGAGGGAACCCAAAGGAGAGCTCGCCCCGATCTGGAGAACTATTGGACAGCAGCTTGAAAATCGACCGCCTGAATATGTCAATGTTCTATGGGTGTCGTCGCATGTGTCTCCCGAGTATATGGTGTCTCGTCGTCTTCGTCCTTGGATGGTTGCAGGGAATATTTATGCGGATACCATGTCGGGAGCTATCGCAGATAAGTATCGTGTCTCAGCTGATTCTCGTTTCAGGATTGCGACTTGGGAAAGGAAAGCAGCATTGGTAAGGAAGCGTTTAATGAGGTCGACTCTGGAATCAGCCGTCGCCGACAGGGAGATGAGGCAGGCCGAAAAACGCAGGTCCGATGCCGATGATGCTGCCGCCGATCCCATTGTCCCTCCCCCTCCTCCCCCTCCTCCCCCTCCCCTTCCCACCCCGTCCGCCGCCGCCGTCGCCCTGTTCGAGTCCGCCCACACCGTGTCCGAGGATGGGCTCTGGTGTGCAGGAGCTCCTGCATCAAGGCGCGGCGGCTCTCTTGGCTGAGTTCGGATTGTAGGGCACTCACACATATTTATGGGGATTTGTACCAGCCTCAGGCAGGGGTCCACATAGCGGGTGGGTGGGTCCACTTTTCGCACAGTATGATTTATCATGATAAGTCACATGTCTGGATTTGCAGTGCTTGTGGGTTCTTCGGGTCAGAGCAGATTCGGAGCCTCGCCAGTCCATGCAAGCCCCACCTCATCACCAAGAAGAGGAGGGAGTACCTCTCGCGATTCGAGCGAGGGCTCCATCCGAAGTAGTGTTCTTTGATCTTGCTACGCAAGCGTTCCGAATCCGAATCCGAATCCTCCTCGTCTTCCCTCCACCTGGACGATCTCCTCGAGAAACTGGGCGGACGCCCCGGCGAAGATGGACCTGTCGCGGAGCACCCCGGACATCTGCGGCAGCGCGGAGGGGCGTCTGGGGGCCCTCAGTGCCGTGCAGCCCTCCTCCTTCTCCTCCTCCTCCTCCTCTTCCTTCTCCTACTCATCGTCATCATCATCATCATCATCATCATCATCATCATCATCATCATCATCATCATCATCACCATCATCAAAAATCATCATTATCACAATCATCATCATAATCATCATCATCCTCCTCATCGTCATCAGCATCATCACCATGATCATGGTCATGATCATCATACTAATCATCCTAATCATCATCATCATCACCGACATCACCATCACCATCACCATCAGCAACATCATTATCAGCATCATCACCGACATCACCATCACCATCACCATCATCATCAGCAACATCATTATTAGCATCATCATCGTCATCATCGCCATCATCTATCGTATTCAACAGCGCCATCATCATCACCATCACCATCACCATCGTCACCATCATCATCATCACCAGCATCCTTTCATCATGTCTTCATCCGAATCATCATCATCACCATCCTCATCATCATGATCAGCATCATCATCATGTTCATCAGCATCATCACCGTCATCTTCATCAGCAGTATCGTTGTCAGCATCGTCACCATCATCAACAGCAACATCATCATTGTCAGCATCATCATCATCAGCATCCTCATCATCATCACCGGCATCATCACCATCACCACCGCAATCATCACCGCCATCATCACCAGCAGTATCGCTCTCTTCATCGTGATCTCCATCCTCATTATCCTCATCATCACCACCCTCATGCGGTCCTGCTGCTCGCCTCCTCCTAATCACCATCACCACCACCACCATCATCATCATCATCATCATCATCAGCATCACCACCAGCATCACCATCATCATCAGCATCATCACCATCAGTATCATCATCCTCTTCATCGTCATCTTCATCCTCATTATATAATTGTCATCATCCTCATCCTCATCCTCGTCATGCTCTCCCTCCTCCTCCTCCTCATCATCATGCTCACCACCATCACCACCACCATGACCATCACCGCCACCAACATCACCATCAGCATCACCATCACCACCACCATCACCATCATCAACATCATCATCGGCATCACAAATCAGCAGCATCATCATCATCAACATAATCATCGTCATCCTCATCATCATTCTCCTCCTCCTCCTCCTCGTCATCATCATCATCATCATCATCATCATCACCACCATCATCGTCATCATCATCATCACCATCATCATCATAAGCGCTATCACCAGCATCAGCATCATTAGTCACTGTTCCCTATTAATATATACACCCCTCCTCCAGGCGACTGGGAGCCAACCAGGGACAATGCGGGCACCCCCCACCATCCCTTGTAAAAACATTACAAAACACACTCTGCCCCCAAATTCGGAGCATGCGCAGCGAACCCGATGCGGCCTCCCCCCACCATCCCTGTCAAAAACAATACAGAGTACACTTGGCGGCGGCGGCGGCTGCGGCGGCGGAGGCAGCGGCTGCGGCGGCGGGGGCAGCGGCTGCGGCGGCTGCGGCGGTGGCTGCGGCGGTGGCGGCGGCGGCGGGGGCGGCGGCGGCGGGCGGTGGCGGCGGCTGCGGCGGCAGCGGCAGCAGCTGCGGAGGCAACGGCTGCGGCTGCGGCGACTCGGCAGCGGGGGCTGCGGCGGCGGCGGCGGCGGGCGGCGCGGCGGCAGCGGCGGCGGACGGCGGCGGCGGGCGGTGCGGCGGCGGCGGCGCGGCGGGCGGCGGCGGCGGCGGCGGCGGCGGGTGGCGGCGGCGGAGGCGGTGGCGGCGGATTCGCCCCCATTAGCTGCCCATCCAAAGACGACTGCTGAATATGCTGCGGCTCGGGCCAGGCTCGGGTGCTACGTATGTGTTGGGAGGGCGGGTAGGAGTGAGCGAGACGAGGGAGCCTTGTCACCATCCCCATTCTCATCCTCATCCTCATCCTTATTCTCTCTCTCCTCCTCTTCCTCCGCATCATCATCACCACCATCAACATCACCATGACCATCACCACCACCACCAACATCACCATAACCATCAACATCGCCATCGCCATCACCATCATCATCATCATAATCATCATCATCATCATCATCACCATCATCACCATCATCACCATCAGCATCACCAGCATCATCATCGTCATCATCATCATCATCATCATCATCACAATCAGCATCATCATCGTCATCGTCATCGTCATCCTCGTTCTCATCCTCATCATCCTCAGCCTCAACAACATCATCATCAACAACATCATCATAACAATCATACTAATAATCATCATCACCTTCATCATCACCATCATCATCACCATCATCATCATCATAAAAATCATCATCAACAACAACATCCGCCACCCACATCCCCCTCTTCCTCTTCCTCTTCCTCTTCCGCTTCTCCCTCCTCGTGACGACCATCGCCCCGCCACGGAGGCTGCCGCTTGACATGGCGTCGCAACCCCGCTGCCTTCCAAACGGCTATCCACTCCCTGCAGGCTCAAGCTCCTCCGCTGTGGACCCCGTTGTCCCACGGGCCTCACGGGACCGACGGGCCTCACGGCCCGACAGCCCGCATCGACATGGATCCGACATTTCCCACGAGCAGCGCGAGGTCGCATGCCATTATGACCTTCGCCCCTCGCGAGATACTGCATGAAATCTGACCCTCCGCCGGTCGCTTTGTCCTTCGCACCGCGAGATCCGGACGAGATTCTGTCAGCGGTGGACAAACCTCCCTTTAGTAAACCACCCTTTTGTGAAAACGGCTTGGGACCGAAACTGAAGGACCTGGACCCGCAAAAATGACGGCCGCGACGCCCTCTCGCAAACTGAAAACGGCCAATTTGCTAATCGACGTGTCAGGGCAGGAGGTCTATCAACCTTCGAGAAAACCGACAGGCCGATGAACGCGTTTCTTTTTTTATGTTCGGCGATGACGGGCGTCATGGGGGGGGGCGGGGGGGGATGACGTAACGCCCCCCCCCGCCGTGTGGCTCTGGCACCATAACCGCGCCCGGGCGCACGACTCGACGAGCGACGAGCTACGAGCGACAACGACGACGACGACGCGCGCAGCATGTAGGTGGCGATCTGCCCCACTCCGCCCGTGTACACCACAGTGCTCGCGTGCACCACACCGCGCGTGTACACCACAGCGCCTGCGTACAACGCAACAACCGTGTGCTACGCAGCGACTGTGTACACCACAGTGCTTGCGTACACTACAGCGCCGGTGTACATGTGCACACCGCAGCAACCATGTGCAAAACAGCGCCGTTGTACGCCACACTGCTTGCGTGCACCGCAGCGCCTGTGCACGCCACAGCGCCTGTCTACACCGCACCATCCGCGTGCAACGCAGCGCTGGTGTACACCACAGTGCCTGCGTGAATAGGACAGGTAGAAGGAGCGTGAGGCGCTGCTGTTGACAACTAAACGCCACGCCAGAAAAGTGATGAGAATCGAATGCTATGTTCTTCCCTCCTCCCTCCTCCTCCTCCTCCTCCTCCTCCTCCTCCTCCTCCCCCTCCTCCTTACCCCCTGTCAAGCGGGTTGGCGCTACAGTGCACGCGCGCAGAATGCTCGATTGAATCGGTCCACTTGGTTCTCGGACGGCCAATTTCGCTGAAGCGTCCAGGACGCAAATGGGAGGAGTTGGGGTGATGCGGGCGGACTCTGGACGACTCGTAGATTCCAGCGGCGCTCCCTTTCTACTGTTTTCTGTGGAATCCACCAGCGCTGCATTTTCTCAAAAGGATTTCTTCTTACGATATATATATATATATATATGAGTTTCGGCTGCTACCCGTGCCAAAATCCATTTTTCTTCGGCATGCTCCGCTGCTTCGAAGCAATTCAAGAGAACGAGCGGCGGGCGGTGACAGGGCAGCTCGATGGAGCTGACCTGAACGGACAGAGCGAGCGGCATTCAAGACTCTGAGCCCCCTGGGTTGGCGAAGTGACGCCCAGGTAGGAGGAAGATGGGGAAGGCTGGCGGGTCCTGGAAAAAACTTGAGCATAAGTACAACATACGGCACTGAACGCAGCAACAGATCATTAATGTGCAAGCACAACGCATGAGCTTAGGCTGCTACCCGTGCCAAGATCCATTTTTCTTCGGCATGTTCCGCTGCTTCGAAGCAATTCAAGAGAACGAGCGGCGGGCGGTGACAGGGCAGCTCGATGGAGCTGACCTGAACGGACAGAGCGAGCGGCATTCAAGACTCTGAGCCCCTACCCACTGCCATCAAGTGTCTTGGCCTTGGCCACTATCAGCACAGCAAGATCTTTGCAGAGCGCCGCAGGGTAAGGACACGCCCTCGAGGTCCAGAACACACCGAGAGGGTCTTTAACCTTCAGTGTTATGTGTGCCTTACCCGTTGCACTACACCTTTTTTGACAGCCTGTACACAGGCGAAGGGACGGCTGCGCTGGCAGCCAATTGAATAATAAAAAGGTAGTCGACTTCTTCCAGGGGACCTGATACTGGCAATAATCAACCGTCGCCCATTCGGCGTGAGCGTCGCGGGCCATGTCCAGAAGCTCCGGGACAAGCCAGAGGCGAGACGAGCGAGGATTCTCGAGGGAGAAAGGGATTCCCGCCTCGATGGCGGCCGCCAGCAGGCGCAGAACATTAGCGAGCAGACGATTGGCGATCACCACCTTCTCAGCGTCCGCCGCCGCCAACAGAGGGAGGCCGTGCAAATGCGCATCGTCCCTGAGTGGCGGCGGCCCCCGACCATCATTCTTCCTTGCCCGGCTCCACGTTTTGCAGTCCAGGCCGACATGCACCCCCGCGACCTCCTTCCTTGATATCCTCAAAACCAGACTGTCGATGAAGGACTCCTCGAGAAGGTCGGCTCGCGGGTCGTCGGCGTAGTCCCAGCCTTCCGAAGCCCACCCCGCGGCGTGGACGGCCTTGGCCAAGGCGGCGGACCCGCGCATGAGTTCGACGAAAGGCCTGGCACGGGCGCGGGCTGAGGCCC